AAATGGCTCAGTCATGCTTAATACTGAAAACAGCAGAAGAGGAAAAGTCAGGTAGTGATGATGATACCACAGAGGAGTAGTGTTCCCCTCAACAGCTCTGCTCCTCCCACCTCTTCCTGGCAGTCTTTCCCCATCTTCCTTCTTTTGGTATTGCAAGAAATGGGCCAGAAATACGAACTGCATATCTGGCTTTCATATACATGAAAGCTCAGGAGGACTTTGGTTTGGCTGAAGGGATGAGACAGGAAATCTGAGTAACCCCAATCTGAACCACAGGCCCCAAATCCAGGGGCTTCTGGATGCAGCCCTTGGGTTGAGTTCTGTTCCAATGTGTCATTCTACCTTTCTCTCTCCAACCTTCTTTCTGCAATACTCTCCCCTTTTCTGGCTGCTGAATTACAGTAGATAGCTTGACTGTCTGTAGCACATGCAGAAAGCTTGTATTCTGCCTACCTCAAACCCTCTTTACATATATGAGAATATCACAGAAGACTATTCATATGGAACTAATCAATGCTTTCCCCACGCATTTTAGATGAAAGAATATCTGACGGCAAAAGAAATCAGGTAAAGAGTTCTTCTCTCCTCAAAGGACATGATACAGAGGAAGAGAAACCTACCTCTTGTTCCCATCCTGCTGATAAATCTTTAGGGGGTGAAGGTTTCCTTGCAACCCAAGCTGCTAATCCCATGGAGTCTGACTACTGAAAGGATATTCTCCTTCCAAGCTTGCCACGTCCTTGAGCGTGGAAGGCACAGTTAGATAGCAGAACAAAGCTGGTGAGTTCTCCTTTGTTCTGTCTCCATCCTGCTCTTCACTCATCTTGCAGATCAAATGCCTTCTTTACTCACCTCACAAGACACAGGAAGACTGTCTGCCAAAGTGGAGAGTAATATGAAATCATCTGTGCCACTGTTTGCCTCTCCCTTTAAAGGCAAACCAGCGGGAAGCAAATTCCATGGTTTTTGGAAAGAACCTCTTCTATGTAATATCTAAACAGAAATCCTTTCCCCTCTGTCTGGCACCAGCAGTGTTTTGTCTCCACCACTGTGCTGTGCATTACCAGCAGTAGAGACTGGGACAACTAGATGAAGACCAAAGCTAAATAGAATTACAGGTCAAATTCTGTAGAGCATCTACTGAAGTAATTTCATTTGTTGCCTTGGACAACCTGGTTATCGTGCCTGGGAAATCACACTGCAAAACAAGCTTGCAGTGCATTTAAGATTCTTGCCACTTTTTTACAGCTGCCTGTATTGCTACTGAAATTTTCTATTGATGCTGGAAGAGAAGAAAACTACTGTACAGTTCACAAATCACCAGCACAGTCGAGTCCAGTTGGGCCTCTTACCTGTTGGGGTGAGGTGCCTCCAGGTGATGACAGGCTCAGGACGCCCATTTGCCATGCAAACCAGGGTCACGTTGCTGCCCTCATTCACGGTGATGTCCGAGGAGATATTGGAGATCTTTGGTGGAACTGTGAAGACAAAAGAAAGTTGGACCTCATTACCCAGACTTCTGAAGGGCAGCCTGTCTGACTCATTAACCTACCTACCTATTAACCAGAGACAGCCACAGACTCCTCTAACAGGCTGCACTCCTCGTTACTACCTGGCTTTCTGAAATTATACCAGAATAATATGTACCGCTGCTTAAAGGATCTGCAGGTAGAACTGGCTTTTGCTGCAACTGCGATGCTTTGAGTTTGGACAGGTTTGGGGGCCTTCGTAAAATAACCTCTAAGAACTTGCCTGACTGCCCCAAGGCTGCATGGAAGGAGTTGGCAGGCTCCAAGCACTGTTCCAGCTAATTTTTACACTCCAAACAGTCCCAGACGCAGTTCTATGTCCTCCTGCAGGGTGCCAGGCCTCAAGGCACTGACTCAGAGGGTGTATTAGTTATTGCTACCTCCCATGGGCAGATAGAACCCATGCTGCTAGCCAGGACCCTGCTCTGCTGCTCACGTAACCAAATGCTCACTGGGAATTAAACCGGAGAGCTGTTAAGCTCATTTCTGTTGCGAATGCCATGATGAGGTGAGAAGCAGGGACGCGCGCCACGCCTAATGGGAATTTGCTGAGGGAAGGCACAATGGTGACAGCGGGAAGGTTTCTGCAACATCTTTCAGCCAAGAGGGATCCCCCATAGGCTGCCCGCAACAGGTAGCTTCTGGCTGGCTGCACCTCACGTGGCACAGCTCCAAAAGCATGGCAGGGTCCTTAAAGATTCACAAGACCAGCCATGGCTCAGGCATTCAGGATCCTTAAAGACCTTCCAAACTAACTGAGTTTGTGTCACGGGACCAAAGTGACCATGCTGGGACCTGAACAGGTACCTCCAGGTGTGGAGCATGCCAGTGTATCAGCCTCCAAGCTGACCAGGCTGTTGCAGTCTCTCCTCTCTCACATCCATGTCTTGCTTCCACACTTCACACCCCAGAGGTGGAGAGGGAGTTTGACTAAAAAGGAATCTTCTAATTTTTTTTTGAACTTTTTTTTTTTGATATATTTTCAGCTTCTGAATTTGTGTGTAGTGAGGAATGAAACAACATCATTTTCTGCTTTGCTTACCACAGAGTAAACAGACAGCAGCCTCCCATTCCCCCTCCTTGGCAGGAGTGGATGATGGTCCTTCTGAGGCAAAGCTGTACGAGCTAGTTGGGGAAAAGGAAATGAAGCCTGAAGAGAGCAACTCACCACTTCCAGCTGTGTTGCTGGATTCATAGGAATATTGTTTACAACCCACAGTTCATTAGCCCCTCTCTGTAGGCCCCAAACTCATGGACAATGTTTCAGCATCTATGACCATGGGACCCCCTTGGAGGAACAGGGGCTCTCGAGCAGGAACGGGACCTCTCGAACAAAGTGAGGCAGACATGTCTTTGCCGACAGGCTCACTCACCTAGGCAAGGAGGGATTTATGCTGGGCACACTGGGGAAAGATTGCCATTATCTGGGGAGAAGTGACAGCACGATGGGCAGTGAGGAAGCTCATTGTGTTGTGTGGGGGCCAGCGCAACAGGGAAGGCTTTTGCACTCCTCTTGTGAAAGCAGGACAGCTGGAGGCCCATCTCAAATCTGGAGGCCTGTGCACCAATGCAAGCATCATGGTGAAAAAACAGGAGGAATTAGATGTTCACACAGATTTGCAGTATTATAAACCCATTGGGACGACAGAGCCATGGTGGTACAGCTCTCAGGACTGGCAGTGCTGTGCGGGATGGATACAGGCTTTTCAGGAAAGACAGGCGGGAAAGGCGAGGAAATGAGGTGCGCTCTCTGCAAAGGAGTGGCTGGAGTGCACCCAGCTCTGGGTGGTGAACTAGCTGGGAGCTTAGGCGTAAGGATCAGAGGATATCACAGTGTCACCCCTGTTGGTTGGTGTCTGCTACCAACCATTTGATTAAGAAGAGGCAGTGGACAAAGACTGCTTTAGACAGACAGAAGAAGCCTCAAAGTCACAGTCCCTGGTGAGGGACTTCAACCACCCTGATATTTGCTGGCAGGATGAAAGTGCTGGGCTCAAGCAGCCCAGGAGATGTGGGGGTCCAACAGGTTCAGCATGAGTTAGCAGTATGCCCTTGCAGCGAAGACTAAGCATCCCGGGTTGTATTAGCAAGAGTGTAGCCCCATAAGTGGAAGGAAGTGTTTATCCCTTTATATGGTGCTTGTTAGACAGCATCTGAAGCACTACATCAGTTTTGGGCTCCCCAGTACAAGGCGGCCATTGACATACTTGAGCAAGTCCACTGGAGGACTCCCAAGATGGTCAGAAGGCTATAGCATTTGACGTACAAGAGAACCTAAGAGAGCTGGGTCTGTTCAGCCTGAAGAAGAGAAGGCTGAGGGGAGATCTTATTGCTCTCTACAAATAGCTAGCGGGAAAGTGCAGAGAAGACAGAGGCAGGCTTTTCACAGAGATGCACAGTGAACAGCGAAAAGCAGCAGACATGAGCTGCAACATGGGGAAAATTCTGACTCAAAATGAGGAAAAAGCTTTTACTTTGGAGAGGTCAAAGACAGGAACAGGTTCCCTAGAGAGGTGGTGGAAAGTCCATCCCTGGAGATACACAAAACTCACCTGGATGAGGCCCTCAGCAACCTGCTCTAACTGGCACCAGGAAGGAAGAAGGGACCTTGGAAGCTGGTTTGCTGCTCAAGAGCTAGAACTGATGGCTGATCAGCTCATGGTGAAGCAACCAAAGCAAGGTATGTTGGGGGAATTGTTGACTGCACCAGGGTCCCCTTCCCTGGAGAGAAGGAATTTCAGAGTAGGGACACCTCCCTAGCAATACAATACTGGGTAAAGCAAAGCATAGCAGAAGATCAACCCCTTCCTCTCAAAGTGAAATCCGCTGACAAACACAAAGCCCTGCTACATTTTACATCAGTGATTCACTGCGAGCCATCGGCAGTGTGTCTGCACATGTAGGAAGAGGTAGGAGGAAACAAAACAAACCAAAATAAACATTGCTGGAGAATGCTGAAGTTGTCAAAGAATTTGATCCCACTGTATCGAGGGGTACATGAGAGTTTCACTGACTGTAGATCCATTTTGTGCCTCGTCCCCCTTTACCACACACCCATTCTGCACAGCAAATGCCTGGCAGTACAAAACAACAATCACGCGGTGGTCTTGGAAAGTGAGCAAATACCTTTGCCAACCAATACCCCAAGACTGCATAAAGGGCAGCAGAAAGGAAATACCCCAGCTGGGAAATTAAATACCCTGCCTCCTCCAAAAGAAGCTTGTGGCTTCGTGTTTCATGGCACACCAAAGCAGAGTGGCAGCTTGCAGCACCATGCTGAGATCTGGCACAGCACTGAGTCAGCAGACTCAGAAGCACTTTCTCCTCCTTTCTGTCCCACTGGATGAGGGGAGTCCCCTGTCTCATGGCTCAGCACAGACAGACCCTTCGCTCCAGCCAGCAGAGCTGCAGGCTGGGAGAGCCCTGCAAGTTCTGGTGCAGAAATCCAATCTGTTAGTCTTACTACAGGGAACAAAGCAACTCGGAGGGCCACCTCAGTCCTGTAGCAGCACAGCTACCCGTAGTACATACTGTGTTTCAGATCTGAGACCAACACGCACTGGAGAGGACAGAGGGGCTTAGTCTGGTAAAGAACAACAGAGGCTGCTATTTTTTGCAAGAGTTGTGCCCTAGCTGTTCTGTCAGGGGACACAAGGACGGTGATTTTGGAGTGCCCTCAGCACAGCTTCTCTGGTGTGCTGGCAAACATGGGTAAGCAGAGCCCAGGAGTAGAATCGTTGGCTAGATCACGTTTTGGGGTTTTATCTTAACCTCAAGGGGTTAACATTTGCATCAGGAAAAAAAGCCACACAACAAACCAAGAAGGACTAAGCTCAAGCAGGACTAGCAGATGGAGCTGTAGGGCAGTCCGAGGTCCTAGCAGAAGGGTGTGATGACAGCCAAAACAGTCGAGGAGAGAGCAGTGAAAGCCTCTATGGGGCACCAGCAGCAGAGCTGCAGTAGGACATGTGTACCCTGCCACTTTCCAAAGCTGTCAAGTCATTTTAGTTCACAGAGGATCAAGTAAACACAGCAAAAACAAACAGATCTGACCATGCAGACCAAATGCCCAAGAGGAGGAGGATGTGTCCAGATGGTCATATCTGGCTCGCCACTTTTTCACATGATGGAGAAAAGGGCATCCAAGGCTGAAATCCTGTTAGGAGTATAATGACTGGTTCCTTTCAGCTGCCACCTTGGTCAGAGGGCAAGGAAAGGCTGAGAGGAGGGGAAATAGGGCAGGAAATAATTTCCCTGTGAATTTAAAACCTGGTTTGGTTTCGTCTGCTTAGAATCCAAAGCCAGCTAGCATTAAAAATGACTGGATCTTAGTGGACAGTAATTTCACTCAGATAAAAAGTCAGAGACTTTTAATTTTCAGGGTGTCAAGCCAGTGTGTTAAAATGCCAAAACTGTCAGCACCAGCAACAGTTAGCACTGCCTCCTTGGCACTTGTCATTACTTTGCACACACCTTTTTAGGACAGTCTTAAAATGAGAAACTTTGACCTTATTATTTTTTCCCATGTGTGGGTTGTGTTATGTTTTCACAGTTCCCAGACTGCTGGAGGAAGGATTGCTGAGAATAAAACCTCCTGGGACCAGAATCTTCTGGGTGTCACAGCCTCCTTTTGCCCAGCCATCTCTTGTTGACCCTCAACTGGAAAACCCTTTTGCGTCTGGCCTCTCTGAACCATTAGCACAGGCAAAACCACAGCCTGCAGACCCATGGTAGGGGAAGCACTAAACAGCGCTTTCAGGCGTTTTCATATTCAGCCTAACAGCTCATCCCTCCTGGGGAGACCAGGCTGCTGCTGGACCCTTCTGGCTCCAGGGACCATGGGAAAGTGCTGCCAGGCTCTCTGGTACTGCTGAAAAAGATAAAATCACCAGATTTTTTCCTCCCTTTCAGCATAAATGTAATATGGGGTATCTATTACCCTGTGCTTA